CTCTCAGCGACATTGCAGAGTAGTTCTCTTGTTGAAATACATACTTTCTTTTTCTTGGTTTTGTCTCCCCGACCTGGGGGTCATGATTTTAATAATTTAAAATCTTCACCACCCCAGATGCTTCCACTTTTATTCCAGCTTTTCTGGCCCAATGGATATTGAGAAGAAGTTGAAAATGCGAACAGTTTACAGACGGACGGCAACTACGAAGGTATAATCGGGAAAGCTCACTTCAGCTTTCATCTAAGGTGAGATAAAAATATACAGCTCAATTTGAAAGATCACACATGAAGAAGCGTGTCCCTCCTTTTTTAGAATAGAGGGTTTGGCATACTGTAGAAGTACTTTTTCCCCGTTGTATTAATTTATGCTATTTACGCGGTCACAACTTTTTCGCGGAAATTTGTCCAAGCATACTTTAAATATAAGGCATATAAAGTGACAGTCTACTAGGAAATCTGCGTAATTTTTAAAACTGGATTAAACAGAAATTGACATTCCGTGGAATTGTGGCCCATGGAAAAAAAGTACGTCTACAGTATTTCATTATCAAATCGTAAGGGGTCACATTATCCTGCTTATTACAAAGATAGTGCCCTCATAAGCTAGCATAATTTCATATTCCTGATCGCTGCACTGCGTGGATATTGTTTTGAAGATCTCATTAACATCAAATATACCACAAATGACAAATGAAATTTTCACACGTCATCTTTTCATAAAATCAAACATGAAAATATTTTGGATTCGGCCTGTCGAAGAAATTTCTTCATTAATAATAGTTCAGGGTTTGCATTCAAAGTAATGAAAAGTAATAATTATAATACAGAAATAGATGAGATACATAACATTTGTGCGCTTGAAGAATAGATTTAAAATATGACCTAAAAATCATCCACAATCAAATTTAATATGAATTGATCCACTGAAATTCATATGATAAACCTGTAGAACAATTCACACGTTGAGTTATTTATTTTTAAGGAATGAATAGAAAAATCGGTTGCTCCTGAACTACAGAAATGGTATATTTCTCCCAAAGCTAAAAAGCATTAAAAGTCTGTACCTACAAATGAATTTGCTTTAAATCATGTATTCTGTAAAACCGTCGCAATTTTAAAGAATGATGTATGTGTTTTATTTTGCAGGCATTTGTTGTCAATATACATGTAGAGTATTTTGGTGCCATAGAGATATTCAATTGCCCTGTTTTTCTCATGTATGGCATATACTTTTGCGATTGGTAAGAGGAAAACAATGGGAGATAACCCATTCTATTAGTCAATTTCATTGAATCGCCTTTTTATCTAGGGTACTTTCTCACTGAGAAGGAAATAACTTTAAGGAAATTATCTTTGCAAAATACCAGTGTTACCGACCTCAGAAATAAAATTTCTTCATAAATTTAACCATGACGCTTTTTTGTAACCTTAACGGTTCAGATTTATTTTAATTTTACATTTTTTTTTCAAGAAAATTTAGCTTTTAAATAAACCAGCATGGCAGGCGCACAACTGGTCCGGTAAGGAAACAGAATGGGGAGCATGGAAGGCAGTGGATGGACAATATTATAACCGTGCTGCAGGTGGAAACCAGTGTACGATATCAGCAGATGGACAACAGATAGCCGAATGGAGGGTAGATCTTCGGAGAATTGTCAGCATTAGTTATATCGACATCTGTTACAGGACTGATAATGTTCGTAGTATGTACACCGTAAAAAAATCCAATAGAAACAGAAGAATTGCAGTGATGGAAATGGCTAAGCGCCTATAATTCTTTTTGAATTATAATTTCCTTTTGGATTCGTCTTTGTACCATCTATTACTATGAGATCAGTTACCTTTTGGGAAAAAATTACTTTGCTTACATAGTGTCTAAATAATGTAAGTAGCTTTTCAATCATATATTCAATTTACATATTACAAGTAAAAGATGATATTGAAAACATGACAAAGAGTATGTTCCCAAAATATTTACATCCATGAATGAATATTTCAAAAAAATTATTAAGAAATCTGAAATACTTCATGAGTTGTTATTTTCTTTTTTTTAAAAAAAAACTTGAATGTAATCAGTAAATGTATTTTCTACATGTATTAATTATGTCTCAGATTAAAATAAGTTAAAAAGCTCTGAATGAAATATTTTGAAATTATCGATTAACTATTTACAAAAAACGGTGTTTCAAACACAATATACTTTGTGTTTCTTGGAAAGAATACTAGCATTAAGAACCTATTCACACCTCATACAATTGTTGTATCTTAAAGTTAGCATATTCTTTAATTCAATTTCATATATTTTATAACTTCCATGTCATTAATCGCTGATATTATTAAGTATACTTTTCAGGTCCCGGTGCGTTTTATGATCGTTTTGCCGGCTTTACCTCTACGTCTCTAATACTACATCGAAGGAGAACGAAAGAATGTTTCCACGAATTGCAAAATGTGAACGGTACGCCATCGGAAGACCAGAGAATGAATTGTTCTGTGTATGGAAGATTTGTCATTTACTTCAACCAGCGAAATCCAAGGCTTTCACTATCCTTCCTACTATTCTCAGTATGCATACAATGAATTGTGCGAAGTGAAAGTATTTGGTAAGTTCTGTTTTATAACACACAGTGTTTCAGTATACACTACAGACTTATCTTTTACACTGCCTGGCTCTATTTTACAATTTGTAATTTTGTATTTTGGACAATACACAAGGTATATTGATTGATTAACCTCGCTTTTTAAAAAGGCTGCCTGTTACTGGATATTATGGAGAGAATTGTACCAAAACCTGTCCACGGAACTGTCAGGGACAGCAGTGTGACGCCCCAATACTGGAAATTGTCTGAATGGTTGTATAGAAGGATTTAAAGGCCCACACTGTAGTTATTGTAAGTGTATTCATTTTAATCGAAAACTTTATTTTAAAATTACTTTTATTTATTCGGGAAAAAAGCCCTTTGATGACTGACTTTTTTTAAACATTCTCATATCCCGAATGTTAAATTCCATAAAAAGTTTATGTTTATTAATTATTCATCCTTTGATCAAAAGTTAATCTTGCACTACGGAAACCAGCCTGGCAAGAAAACGATTATCCCCATCATTCTTTAGTATGGGGAGCAGCAAAGGCTGTAGATGGGAAATAACCACCGCTCAGCATTGGGATACCAGTGCACAATATCAGCAGATGGAAAACGAACAGCAACATGGAGAGTGGATCTGCAGGGTTTGTTTAGTATCAGTCATATCCACATCTACTACAGAACTGGTAATAGTCCTAGTAAGTATTCAGTATTGTGAATGATTGGGTGATGAAAGTGTTCTTTCATAGAAAACTAAGCGTATGTACTGTTTAAAATCAACTTTTTTTTCACTTTATTTATAAATTTTTAACAACACTGGTACAAATAACATGTACAATTTGAAAAATCTAATGACAATTTTATAAATTTGTTTTTTAAATCGGTTTTTAGAAAGACAGGTAGATTGACGTCGTAATAGTGTTTCGATGCTAGGGTAAACTGAAGCTCTTAAAAGAAAAAGTATTATATGTGAATATATGCTCTTTTAAAAGTAAAACATAGAAATTAGCAAATCTCCCGATGATTTTCATTATTGTTTATGTGAATCATTTGAATCTGTCATATTTTGTAGTATGCTATAAAACAGGAACATTCGTTACTTTTGAAATGTTTCCTGTGGAAACAAGATCGTAAAATTTTCAGTTTCTAAGATATTATTTACAATATGGTAATACTTTCATCATATATTATAACCTGAGCAAAAAGGTTATTGTAATATTTGTAAAATTTGCATAAATGACACTGTCCAGTATTTCCCTTCACTACATGTAAATGCGTTGGGACGTGGAGACCGGTTCTTCGGATGAGACCGTATAAACTGATGTCCTGTGTTGCAGTAGATGCTGGCATGAAAAAGATCCCTCCCTGTTCAATGGCCTTAAGTGCCGAATATCCAACAAGAAAATTCCAGCTCTCCGCCGGCAAGTGGTGACGTCTCCATATGAGTGAAAAATTCTCGAGAGGGGCGTTAAACAATCATAATCAATCAATCAATACTACAGTTAATGTACCATGTATTTTAGGACGATCCTTTGAAAATTCCTGGGAGGTGGATTGCCCCCAAACTTGTGTATTCTATTGAATCTATAACCAAGGCCCCGTGTCAGGGCAAAGGCGCGGACGTAAAGATCCCTCCCTGCTGAAAGGCCGTAGAGTGCCGGAGCATAGGCCTAAATTGGCAGCCCTTTACCGGCAATGGTGACGTCTCCATATATCAGTGAAATATTCTGGAGAGGGACGTTAAACGAATACAATCAATCTATCAAGAAACGTTACATCTGTTATTAAACTTTAGATTTTTTCTTACTTAGTTTTCTCACAATAAACCCCCAGTTGTCTCCCTTCAATCTGTTAGAGTACGCAAATATAAATTTCTTGTAGATAAAGTAAAGCTTATAGTGGGAAAAAACTATTTCACCACTGAAAGCGAATTTAAACTGTAAACCAACTTTCATTCGCGTGCGAGAAATTTCTGCGAGGTTCGCGAGAGCCTCGTCATGCAATATTTCTCGCCGCGATCCTTAAAGTCTCTCTCGTCTGTTATCAAAAAGATCTTAAAAGGCTTGATTGCGAAAATATGAGGGGTGTTAGAAAAAGTTCGCGGACAAGTTCTATTGTGAGCGCGCTATTTCCACGAAACCAGTCAAACTTTCCAGATAAAATCTTAACCATTTTTCCAATTAATATACAAGAATTTGTTTCTCTCTGGTGATTATTAAAAATTAAAAATTTGCGTCACGGAGCATGCTACATTTTTGGCAAGTTTATATCACAAAGACTCTTTATTTAAAATTAAAAATTGCACAATTTTAGCGCAAAGGGATTAATGATATTTTTCCTGCCGCTAAAGCATACAGGAAACGTCACTGGGAGAAATTTTGAACTAAATTGGATGGTATATGACTGTATTATAGCCGAATATAAATGATCAACGCGTAAAAGCACAGAATAAATAAATTGCTAGATTCTCATTCGAGTTTTTTTTTAAAAATGGAGGCGGGCGGGCGGCTTTTATTTTATATTTTTTATTTTTTCAATTTTGCAGATTTTTTTATTGACCTGGTCAATGTGTAATTATATCTAGAATACCTGAATAAAAGTCATAGTAAAGGTTCAATTACCTCTTACTTCACATCATCGCTAATCTTTTTTACCAATGACCCTTGTTTAAAGTATATACGCTTGTATTTCAGTAATATTACCATCTTTTCAGCTGTCAAAATCATGTCGACTTCGCGGGGATTTAAACGAAAAGGATGGGACGAAATCCGAGTACCGATCAGAATTAAGACGAGAAAAACAAGAAATAAAAAAAAAGAGGCGGGGGTATAAAATCGGGGGCGGGCATGGAATATTCAGGAATATTTTTATTATGGCCAAATCGGAACGTCATTGAGCGTCACGGAGCACTGCACTACGAAAAAATTATTTGTGCAGACAGGAACATGTGAGATTAAAATGTCAAAGATGCTGCTGGGAATTCTCTACACATACAAAGAACAAGTTTTCAAATGATTGTAGCTTCATAAGAATGGAGGGAGTAACATTTTGAATGATTAACTCCTTGATACTCCATCGATACTTCAATACACCCATATCACATGGACGTTGCGTTGCGCCTATATGGTTTTGCAAAGCTTCCATACCTTATCGATTAACTGCATAGACTTTTTTTTTATTTTTTAAGATTTCAATGATATCCGAATTAATACAAAAGACATTATAGTAGAAAAGTAACATGTCTTGATATAGAAATCCAATTTTAAAATAGAAAAAAGATCTGAAGAAATGCAAGATTTATAGAACTGCGACAAAGCTTAACAGGTTGAAATCTGGTTGTCACGTCTGTTGTGTATTGGAACACACTTGACCAGTAATGAAGAAAACACGTGTGTATCGCAGAAACTACTTTTTAATTGAATTAACATGTAACAGTGAGAACCAATAACATACACATAACAAAGTTCCGGAATACATGGACACAACATTCCTCCCTCTTAAGTTTTGAAGTAAGATTTACCCCTTTACATTAATTTCTGTGCCTTGCTGGTACATAATGTAATTCGCGGAAACATATTACATACAAATGTAAACTATACATTTAAGAACAAAGCATTAATAGCAACATATGTACAAAACTTTTGTTTCCTTGTGATACCATGAGGATTATTATGCCTCAAGTCTGCACTAGTATCACATTTCACTTCAAACATAATCAGCAAGATGTTTGGGCGGTTTCCTGACACGACTCGGATATCTTGGTTCAGGGACAGCTTGAGTAGATGGCATGGCACGGTCGTCATTGGATGGATGCGAAGGACGTGGTTCTGCATTGGACGCGGGCGAGCTCTGTTTCGCGATGTTTGACTTTACTGGTTGTTGACTCACAGCTGTGTTATTGTTGCTAGGTTGAATATGTAAGTCCTCCTGAAATGGCACATTTGAAGAACGCAACTGATCAGCGTGTCGTCTCCATGTGACTCCTGGTGTTACTTCTACAGAATATGATACAGGTCCAGTCTGAGCTGTCACAGTTCCGGAAGTCCACTGAGAATGATCCTTTCGGTAGTCACGAACAGCAACAGAATCTCCTGGTTCGAATTTACGTAACACACTTTTTCTTCTTTCGCGCACTTCACACTGTTTCTCCTCTACTTTCCTCCTGACATCTGGTTTCATAAGATCTAAACGAGATGGTAAGTTTCTGCCCATGAATAGTTTTGCTGGACTTTCATTTGTTGTGCACTGTGGAGCATTACGGTAAGCCATAGGAAAATTGCTGAGTTTCTTCACCATGCTACCACTTTCCTTTTTACTCGACTTGAGACTCATCTTGAATGACTGCACAAATCTTTCTGCTAAACCGTTAGTACTGGGGTGATAGGGTGCTGAGGTTATGTGTTTTATACCGTTTCCTCTAGTAAAATTCGCAAACTCTTTCGATGTGAATTGAGGTCCATTGTCACTTACAATTTGTGATGGTAAGCCATTACGTGCAAAAACGGTACGTAATACATCTATGGTCTGGGAAGATGTGGTAGTTTTGACAAGGTATCACCTCTGGCCACTTAGAGTAAGCGTCAACAATAATTAAGAACATTGAATTGAGAAACGGACCCGCAAAATCGATATGGATCCTTTCCCATGGTCTAGACGGCCATTTCCAGGGGTGAGTAGGCGGCTGGTGGCGGTACGCTTCACTGCCTGACATCCAGCACAGCTCTTTGTCAAAAGTTCTATATCCCGATCTATCCCTGGCCACCAAGCATGACTTCTTGCTAAGGTTTTCAATTTAACAACACCAATGTGACCTTGATGTAGTGATCAAAACTTGACTTCGCAGTGACGGCGGAATCACAACACGTATTCACCATAATAGACAGTTCTGGTGAATAGTAAGTTCACTACGGCGCGTAAAGTATGAATCCATCTCCTTCGATTCTGAATTTGCAGACCAACCTCTGGACACATTATCGTAAACTTTCGACAAGAGGTAATCATGCCTTGTTTCACGCTGGATTGCTTCAGGTTTGATAGGTAGATGTTCCAGTTGACTGACATGCAACATTTCCACTTCCGTTTCCTCTTCTTTGTCCACTGATCTGTTACCCTCACACGTGACAGGTAAGCGGGACAAGCTGTCAGCATTTCCATGTTTCTTTGTATTTCTGTAGATTATATCATAGCTGTAGCCAGCCAGGAACAGTGCGTACCTCTGCAGCCTAGCTGCTGTTGTGTTTGCGATCCCCTTCTTTGGACCAAATATAGAGATTAGTGGTTCGTGGTCTGTAATGAGACGAAAACTTCTTCCATAAACATAAGTGTTGAAACGTTTTACTCCCCAGATAATTCCTGAGTTTCTCTCCTTCTATCTGTGAGTAGTTTTTCTCAGATGTGCTGAGTGAACGTGACGCATAAGCAATTGGTCTCTCTTCACCATTGGGCATAATGTGACTCAAAACAGCTTCAAGGCCATAAGGAGAGGCATCTGTCGCAAGACATAAGGGTAAGTTTGGATCATAATGGGTAAGTACTTCATCTGATGTTATGAGCTTTTTAACAGTCTTGAAAGCCTCCTCACAGTCTTTTGTCCAACACCACTTGCGGTCCTTCTCCAGTAAGTTGTACAGTGGGTGAAGCACTGTAGATAAATTGGGAATGAAACGTGCATAGTAGTTCACAATCCTTAAGAAGGAACGAAGCTCGGACACATTAGTAGGTTGTGGTGCATTTACAATAGCTTCTATCTTCTTCTGTGTCTTTTGTAAACCATGACGGTCAATTTCATGCCTACAGAAAGATACTTTATCCTTGAAAAATTGGCACTTGTCCAAGTTTACTCTGAGTCCATATTCTGCAAATCTGCCAAGCACAGAGTCTAAATTTCGTAAATGCTCTGCTTCATCTTTGCCTGTGATGATCATATCGTCGATGATACACTTCACTCCAGGAAGTCCTTGAAGCACCATATCCATCGAACGCTGCCAAATTGCTGGCGCAGACGCAACACCATACACTAGGCGATTGTAACGATATAAGCCTTTCTCTGTGTTTATCGTAAGTAAGGGACGGGAATCTTCTTCTACCTCCATCTGTAGGTAAGCATGTTTTAAATCCTCTATTGAGAATTGTTGTCCTCCAGACAGAGCAGCAAATATATCTTCAATTCTTGGAAGAGGGTACTGGTCAACTTCTAATACTGGGTTAAGAGTCACTTTGAAATCTCCGCACACACGAACTGAACCATCCTTCTTACTGACTGGTACAATCGGCGTAGCCCATTCACTAAAGTTGCACTTCTCCAGTACACCATCTTTCACCAACTTCTCTAGTTCTACCTCAACTTTAGGTTTAAGTGCATAAGGTACCTGTCTGGCTTGACGAACTTGGGTTTTGCATCAGGTTTAACTGTCAACTTGGCCTTGATTCCTTTTAAGGTTCCCCAATCATCATTGAATACACTGACGTTTATCTAACACAGTTTTGAGATTTTTCTCTGCTTTACATGTTGCAAGCGATTTTATTTCTGGCCAGTTCAGTGTAATCTGTTTCAGCCAATCTCGACCAAACAGTGTAACTCCAGCTTTCTTCATAACATACAGATTAAGGTCCTTGCGCTGGTCCTGGTATCTCACACTGACTTCTGCAACACCCGCAGGTTTAATTTTTTCTCCTGTGTAAGTCTTTAACATAATGTCACGGGGTTTCATCTTGACGTTTGGAAATTTTTTCTTGAATATTTTCTCGGGAATAACAGATACTGCGGCTCCTGTATCCAATTCCATTTCCAGACTAACACTGTTTACTATGGGTGTGATCCTTATCACATCATCTGATCTTCTCATGGAGTTAATATCCATCTCTAAAGTCTTTATGTAGATCTCATTACTATCTGAACTGTCATTTTGATTTATCATGTGAACACTCATCTTATTTTTTCTTCTGGCTGCGACATGCATGTTTAGAGTGACCCTTCTTGTGACACTTGAAACACTCCTTGTCTCTGTAATAACAACTTTGTGGCTTGTGGTCACCATTGCACCGGAAACATGATTCTTCCCTTGGTGAACATTCCCTGATGTTCCACCATATCCGTGAGACTTCTTTTTTAGTATGTAGTTTATGTACACTAGCACTAGGACTGTGCTTACCTGAAGTTCTGTAGCATCCCTGGCTGCTGTCTCCATAGCAACGACTATATCTGTAGCGGACGTAAAAGTTAATTCAGCCTCGGATAAAAGTTTCTTTTGTATATGCTCATTGCGTAAGCCACAAACAAGTCTGTCTCGTAACATATCATCCAGAATAAACAATGTTCAGTTAACTTCCTCAGTGCAGCTACATAATCAAGAATAGTCTTACCTTCTGCTTGCTCCCTCTTATGAAAGCGAAAACGTTCAGCTATGACAAGAGGTTTTGGACACAGATGCTTTCGTAATGTCGCTACTAGGTCGCCATACGATACTTCTGAAGGTTTCTTGGGTCCGCGAGCCTCTCGCAGCAGTGAATAAGTGTTTCCACCAATCAGTGTAAGTAAAACGGGTACTTTCTTCTCTGATTTAACTTCATTACAAGTAAAATATTGTTCAAGGCGTTCATGATATGAATCCCATGATTCAACTGCACTATCAAATGGTTCCAATCGGCCTATTTTCCCTGCCATTACTGTGAAAGCACGTGGACCGGTACACAGAACAAATTCGTACACAATCCGAACAGTTACTTGCACAAATTCGACTAAATCAGAATGTCACACTCACCGACACGTTTATCCGAGTAACTCATACATTTATGCGTAGGCTTGAACACATTCCTCGTCGCCAATGTTGTGTATTGGAACACACTTGACCAGTAATGAAGAAAACACGTGTGTATCGCAGGAACTACTTTTTAATTGAATTAACATGTAACAGTGAGAACCAATAACATACACATAACAAAGTTCCGGAATACATGGACACAACAACGTCGCTTATGTCAAGTGATTGCTCCGTGAATTCCATGAACCCATGGTAAAAATGGTTGTAAAATTTCAAGATTTTATTATATGGACCTGATTTTTTACATACCAATACACAAAATGTAGGAATTTATCAGACACAAGTGTTACTTCACACTACAAAATAGATTTTCCGTAATTCAATGTGTCCGCGAACTTTTCTAACAACTCTCGTATATCGCCACGAACTGCTTTACAAATGGTAAATCTTGAAATAAAGTCGTCGCGCATAAAAGTTGGTTTACAGTAGACATTTTTGTCTCAAAAGCAAATTGTGAAATTAAGAAGTAAATTGACGAGAAAAAATCACTCCATTAGACATTTTTATTTAGGCCCTGGTGCATTCTATCAGCGTTTTGCCGGGTTTTTCGTCTACATTTCAAACGATACCTCGAAGGACAACGGTGTTCTATGTTTTCATGAAAAACAAAATATCAGTGGTTCACCCATAGAGAATCAGACCTTGAGCTGTCCATTTGACGGACGTTATGTGATATACTACAACGAGAGGAGAGCGGGCGTACACTATCCAGAATATTACTCCACATTTGCTTCGAATGACTTATGTGAATTTGAAGTTTATGGTGAGTTTTCTGTTCCTGATAAGGATTTACTACATGAATGTTATTAAAAAGAAATAAAACAGTGATATGAAATTTTTTATCAATTTTATTTAAACAGGATGTCCTAATTCTACACACTACGGAAAGTATTGTGACCAAATGTGTTCGGACAGTTGTCTTGGACAGAGGTGTAATTTCTTAACAGGGAACTGTCTCATGGGATGTTCAAGGGGACATAAGGGACCTCAATGTAGACAAAGTAAGCTGCAAATTAATATGCAGTTTTATTTTTATGTAGGTAATAAATATTTTAAGTTTTAAGCAGAAACAGATGCAAAACCCTAGTTATACATTGTAGTATATATAAGTTATTAACTGACTAATTTATTTGAAAGTTAATACTTTTTATTAAAACCTTAACCAAATAAATGTAATTAAATATATGTATGTGTACATTGTGTTTGTCAATTTGTTTTAACTTTCTGCATCGCATGTATCTACTGATAAGTTGTGTTATACACATCAGAGTAAACAATTACTCAAAGATTGAGAGTGTTTTTTTCCTTAAGGTAGGATTTTTCTCTCTGGTTTCTGACAAGATGGGATAATCAAAGTACATTTGTCAATATGTCTTGTATATTTAGATTTTGAAATTTAAAAGACCATATTTTTCTTTCCTCATCACAATTATACAGCTTTCAATAGAAATGGTAAATGGCGTTTGAAAACTAGCAGGGACTAAATTTTTGGCGGAATGGTGGCGTATGAAAATATCTCCTTTTTTGCCTCTCAAAATTATTATAGAACATTGAATTTAGTTATTATTTTTACGCAATCAAAGACTAGACGAAATGTTTAAATGTAAGTTAAATTATTAATTGGGACTAAAGTTTCAAAATATATCAAATAAATAAGATTTTTCACGCATACTAGAACTATGTTGGCTTTTAAATGCTTCAAATCTAAGTACAGATTGGGGCCAAAAATCTGTAAAAAGTATTATTTCTCTCTAAGTAAACGATCAAAACTTTTAGTTTTTGTATCATTTTGTACCTTTCTGTGACAACTTTACTATATGTGAAAATTAGAAAAAGTTAAATATAAGAAGCAAATAATAATAACTAATAAATCCTAAAATTTTAAGAAAAGTAGAGGAAATTCGGATATTTTTATTCTTAATGTCCAGGTTAAAGGTAATGACCTTGATCTTACCTTTCCTCTAATATTAAATGGGTAATTTTAATCTCACTGATACTATCACTTAGTGATATTGTCCTCTTCATTCTGTGAAAATTTCATTAATTTTTAAATACAAGAAATGTGAGAAGAATCCTACCTTAAACGCGGATCTAATAAGTACAATACAATTTTATCATTCTATAATTATGTAAAAGAATGTGACGGTGGAATGTTTGGAGGATCCTGCAGTCAGAAATGTGGTCATTGTTATGGTAAAACACAGTGTCATCATATCAACGGTTCATGTCTAGGAGGGTGTTCTGCCGGATATATTGGATCTCTTTGCAACAAACGTAAGAAAAACTATACCTTCAATGTTTAATTATGTTCCCCAAACGAAGTTGGGGAACATATTGTTTTTACTCTGTTTCTTATTAAGGTCTTCCGTTTCAGACGGAAGACCTTCTAGCGATTCTACTGTTTCTTTTTATTTTTTTTTCCCCTTTTCTGGTCAGAAAGATTTCTCAGAGATGGCTGGACGGATTTTCTTGAAATTTTCAGAGATGGTAGAGAATAAAAATACGCCCAGACGTTTTCTTCATTTTTTCAAAATTCACTTCCGGTCGTCAGATATGTCCGATTTCCGCCTCTTTCAAAATTATTTTGTCTCAATCATATCTCAGAAACGGTAAGAGATTAAGACACCAAACTTACAGGGATAATAGATCGTGATTAGTAGGCGAGCCCATTTGGGTTAAGATCGACCGCCGTCACTTCCGGTCGTCACAGGAAGTGATCAAAGAAATCGAAAATTTCAACTTTTCTTTTTTGAAACTTTTTTTGCATCACATTATAGCATCTTGTTTGTAGTTTCGAAATATATCAGTCTCACCGGAAACAAAAACGACAACTTCCGGTTATAAGAGAAAAACTGCATATTTTCAGTATTTTTCTTTCCCATAAATGTTTTTTATAGATGAAGCATTTTTAATCATTTTTGGATATGTTATTTAGACTGCAAATGACTACAGTAACGTCAAATATCTTTGTAAAATTCACTTCCGGTCGCGTGATTTCCTGTCCTCAAAATGAGAAGTTATCACAGCTAGATCTCGTCAACGGTAAGAGATTAAGACATCAAACTTATAAAAGTGGTAGATCTTGATAAGTAGACCAATTCAGTTGGGATAAGATTGTCAGCCGTCACTTCCGGTCGTCACAGGAAGTGATCCAAAAAATCAAAATTTTTAACTTTTCTTTCATGAAACTTTTTTTGCATCACATTTTAACATCTTATTTGTATTTTTGAAATATATCAGTCCGACCGGAAACTAAAACGACAACTTCCGGTTTTAAGAGAAAAACTGCATATTTTCAGTATTTTTCTTTCCCATAAATATATCTTATAGATAAAGTATTTGTCATGATTTTTGGATATGTTATTTAGATTGCAAATGACTACAGTTACGTCAAATATCTTTGTAAAATTCACTTCCGGTCGGGTGATTTCCTGTCCTCAAAATGAGAAGTTATTATAGCTACATCTCGTAAATGGTAAGAGATGAAGACAACAAACTTATAGGAGTGGTACATCTTCATGAGTAGGCAAAATAATATGAGTAAAGATTGTCGGTTGTCACTTCCGGTCGTCACAGGAAGTGGTCAAATAAATCAAAAAAATTTCAACTTTTCTATTATGGAACGTTTATTGCGTCACATTATAGCATCTTTTTTGCAGTTTCAAAATATATCAGTCCCACCGGAAATAAAAACGATAACTTCCGGTTATAAGAGAAAAAATATATGATTTGAGTACTTTCTTTCTAATATATATTTTTTATAGATGAAGTGTTTGCAACGGTTTTTGGTTATGTTATTTAGACTGCAAATGTCTACAGTAAACATCAGACATCTATGTAAAATTTACTTCCGGTCGCGTGATTTCCTGTCCTAAAAATGAGAAGTTATCATAGCTAGATATCGTAAACGGTAAGAGATTAAGACACCAAACTTATAGGAATGGTAGATCTTGATGAGTAGGCAAATCTATTTGGGTTAACATCGTCCGCCGTCACTTCCGGTTATCACAGGAAGTGATCAAATAAATCAAAAGTTTCAACTTTTCTTTATGGAATCTTTCGTCGTAATACATTATAGCATCTTATTTATAGTTTTGAAATATGTCAGTCCCAGTGGAAATAGAAAAGACAACTATGAGAGAAAAACTGCGTAAATTTAGTATCATACTATCCCATAGATACTTTTTATAAAAAGTGTAATAGAAATCATTTTAGGACATGTTATTCAGATTGAAATGTCTAGAGTAACTTCAAATTTCTTTTCAAAAAATGTACTTCCGGTCACTTGATTTCATTAAGTTAACATTACGAGATCTCTTAATCTGCAAGAGATCAAGACACTGAACTTACATGTATAATAAACCATAAAGATTGGGCACCAGATATAGGATAACTTGCGTCTGATGTCACTTTCAGTCGTCATAGAAAGTGATAAAAGAATTAATGAAAATGATTTTTGTAAATGTTATTAAGACTATAATTGTCTAAAGTAACGTCGAGAATCTTGGTAAGTTACACCTCCGGTCGTTTGTTTTCTTGAAATCATTTTAAATATTAGATGCCTTTTTAACATAGATAAAACCTCATTCATGCAGATAAATAGAGGAGAACGGAAGACCTTCTTTGTTGCTATAGCAACAAGAGTTTCTAGTTATTATGTTCCCCAAACGAAGTTGGGGAACATATTGTTTTTACTCTGTTTCTTATTATTATTATTATTTTTCTTCTCGGGAAAATTTTGTCCGCGAATGATCTTGTAAAGTAGACATCCGATTAAGGGGAAACCTTTTTAGGGTAAGTAGGCATGTTATGTAGATTTGCGGAACGAAGGTCATTTTGCGCGCACGTGCTTGCAAGAGCGCGCACGTGCAACACGTGAAATGACCAATATACTTGAAATTGCCGTATCTTTTACATTTTTCGATGTAATGCTTTGATATTTAGACTATATAGACATATTATAACTGTAGATAAGATGACATTGTCAACATGCAATTTTGTGTGCACGTGCTTGCAAGAGCGCGCACGAGAAACACGTGAAATGACCGATTTAATTGATATAGACGTAAATCTTTACTGTTTTGATGAAATGCTTTGAAACTCATAATATAAGGATATAGTAGTAGCATAGACAATATGACATGGTCAAAATAGCAAGATCTCAAGCGCATGCACGTGCGCTTCGCTCTGATTGGCTGAAACTAAAGTCTCAATATCTTTCTTGGTGTTGGATGAAATCCTTTGAAATTTTGAACATAGCCATGCATTAGGATATCCTACAACATGATATATAGCAATTATCAAGAAAACACGTGCATGCACGTGTGCTGCAATCTGATTGGCTGAAACTTTAAATAGCTGTAACTCCCTTGGTTTTCAACCAAACGGGGTGGGATTTAGAACATAGATAGATGTAATGGACTTCTACAAGAAGGTATGTCACCATGCCCATGTATGCACGTACGTGCACGTGAAATGAGTAAAACCAAAAATACACTTGAATGAGCGTATTTTTTAATACTTTTGGATTAAATACTTTAATATTTAGTATATTAAAGTACATAGATTGTGTAGACAAGATGGTATGGTCATTACGCACATACATTCACATGCGCACGCGTGCAATGCTAAAATTTGAATAAACTTGGTACCCTTCTGGGTAAACGTTGTTAAAGTCTCAAATGCATAAAGTTTGTCTTATTTAATGAAGCTAACAGGGGATATGGCACCAAACGGGAGATGGGGAGCGTTTGGGGAACATCTGTAACGATCCCCGTTACAATTAGCACTAGTTATTATTATTTTTCTTCTTCTTCCTGGGTACTTTTTTGTCCGGGAGTGATCTTGTAAACTACACATCCGACTTAGGTAAAACCTTTTTAGGGTCAGTAGGTATGTTATGTAGAATTGCGGAACGAAGGTCATTTTGCGCGCACGTGCTTGCAAGAGCGTGCACGTGCAACACGTGAAATGACCGATTTAATTGATATAGGCGTAACTTTTCACATTTTTGATGAAATCCTTTGAAACTCATAATATAAGAATGTATTAGTAGCATAGACAATATGACATGGTCAAAATAGCAAGATCTCACGCGCATGCACGTGCGCTTTGCTCTGATTGGCTGAAACTAAAGTCTCAATATCTTTCTTGTTTTTTGACGAAATCCTTTGAAATTTTGAACATAGCCATACATTAGGATATCCTACAACGTGATTTATAACAATTATCATGAAAACACGTGCATGCACGTGCGTTGCAATCTGATTGGCTTAAACTTTAAATAGCTATAACTCCCTTGATTTCCAACCAAACAGGATGGGATTTGGAACATAGATAGATATAATGGACCTCTTCAAGAAGGTATGGTCACCATGCACATGCATACACGTGCATGTACATGTGCTGCAATCTCATTGGCTGAAACTTTAAACAGATATAAATCCCCTGGTTTTCAACCAAACGGGGTGGGATTTAGAACATAGATAGATGTAATGGACTTCTACGAGAAGGTATGGTCACCATGCTCATGTATGCACGTGCGTGCACGCGAAATGAGTAAAATCAAAAATACACTTGAATGAGCGTATTTTTTAATACTTTTGGATTAAATACTTTAATATTTAGTATATTAAAATATATAGATTCTGTAGACAATATGATATGGTCATTACGCACATGCATTCACACGCGCACGCGTGCAATGCTAAAATTTGAATGAACTTGGTACACTTCTGGATAAACGTTGTTAACGTCTCAAATGCATAGATTTGTCTTATTTGATGAAACTTACACGGAATATGGCACCAAAAGAGAGTTGGGGAGTGTTTGGGGAACATCTGTAACGGTCCCCGTTACAATTAGCACTAGTTAAGATCAGTATTATTTTTTCACAGTCATGTTAATAACATTTTCATTGTACTGCATGAAACGACAACTAAAGTGGTAAATACATGTGGCATATTTGATTTTCTGTGAATAGACCATGACATACACCTGTATAAAACGATACAAAAATTATAACAATTACATTTTTAAATGAGATTTACTAAATACAGAGAACTTTTTGGTAGAATGTGTGGTTGGGACATACGGATTGAAATGTAACAAAACTTGTGGACTCTGTTCTGATGGATCAAAATGTCACCATGTGAATGGTTCATGCGTAAATGGATGTTCTTCAGGATATAAAATTCCTCTCTGTATCACAGGTAACTGATTTACAGGGTTTAATTTTCACTTACATATATTTTGTTGCATTATCACACCAACTAATGATTTCATTCCTCTTTTAAGAATAAAGAGTGTTCTACTCTAAATCCTTTCATTACTTTCAAATGAAAGTACATTAAACAACAAACACACCATATGGACATAACAACGACACGCAGTAGCTTTATTTGTACAGTATACAGAACATATGCAAAGTATGAAATTACATCAATATGTATATATATACATGTTTATGTTAGATTGAATAAATCATGATAAACCTTAACCTTTATCATGCTCTACGTGTCGTCCTAAACTGGCATTTAAACCACTATTCACCTCTTATATAGCCTTGCTAACGAGACCGGTTCTAAAGAACCACGTGATATTCACCAGGTATTCGAATGAAAACTTTGTAATTCCAAATAAGAAATACATTATCACACCAAGTAGAAATTGATTTCTGTATAACTCGATCCTCAAAAGAAAGAAATCATATAATACATGTACATATGATTATATTTCTTGCATTTATCAAACGTTCTGATATTCACGTGTTTACTTATTAATAATTCTTTAGGCGTGTTTAAGATATGATCATAAAAATATCAATATATTTTAAGAATGTGACCATGGATTTTTTGGCGACGCCTGTAGGGAGGCTTGCGGTCATTGTTTTAGTAACGCACCGTGTCATCATATCAGTGGTTCCTGTTTACATGGATGTTCTGCCGGATACCAGGGTCCTCTTTGTAAGAAAAGTGAGAATCAGGAATAATAAGTACACTTGCTAAAAACGAAAAAAAAGCTGTATACATGTACATGCCTGGATCATCTTCGAAATAATGTTTATTTGCTTAATTTCTCCTGTCGAATAATTGGATCACTTACATTCATGTTCTCTAACGCAATCTATGAAGCGTCAGATAATGATCATTTTCATACTGTTTAAACATTCAAGAAATCAGAAAAGCAAATTAGGCTTTCCAATGTGAAAAATTCATTATTAGAGTTGATATAAAAAAACATGCTTCTTATAGAATGTGACGGAGGAAAGTATGGATTGAAGTGTAACAAAACTTGTGGACCCTGTTCTGATGGATCACAATGTCACCATGTTAACGGATCATGTTTGAATGGATGTTCTCCGGGATATAAAAGTCCCCTCTGTATCATAGGTATTTCTTAATGATTTCTCGTCATTGGTCATTTGAAAAATTATTTTGTTAAAACAGATTCTGATTGCACACATAAGTACTCTGAAGTTGACACCAAGAAGATTCTTGAGTTTCTGATTGACAATATCTATGTGGATTTTGGAGACCAGGTATTCCAACAATCTATTGGAATTACCATGGGTACAAATTGCGCTCTGTTATTAGCAGACTTATTTTTATATTCATATGAAGCAGAATTTATGCAAAATCTTATGCGTGAAAAGAAGAAAACACTTGCTGTGGCCTTCAACTCGACATTTAGATATATCAATAATGATAATATCCATTCCTACATTGTTATGATATATCCTTGTGAGCTTGAGATAAAAGATACCACAAAGTCCGACACTTCTGCTTCATACTTGGATATTTTGCTTGAAAAAGACACTAATGGTAATCTAACAACCAAGCTATATGATAAACGTGATGACTTTAACTTTTCTATCGTCAACTTCCTTTACTTATACAGCAATTTACCTTCATTACCTGCATACAGAGTATATATATCTCAGTTGATTCGATACGCAAGAGCGTGCTCTACGTATGAACAATTTCTTAAACGAGGTAAATTATTGAAAAGCAAGTTGATGAAACAAGAATATCAACAGTCTCGTTAAAAGTCATCATTTCGTAAATTCTATGGTCGATACAATGACCTTGTCAGCAAATACAATTTATCATTGAGTCAAATGCTGACTGATGTTTTTCATTCCAATTGTTAGTCAATTATTTATACACTGAAATGACGATGGATTTTTTCCGTTATTTCCTGATCATGACAACGAGCATACGGCGGGTGTGACCAGTCGGCAGGGGATGCTCACTCCTCCATGGCACCTGATCCCACGCATTATTTCGCACACCATAGACTTTGATGCATAGTAAAAAGAAGACCATTTACGTTTTGAAAGCGTTCTTTCACTTAATAAAAAGAATGACAAAATTAAGAAATTACAGTTAAAAAATTTAATTACATTTTATGTTTCCGATATTGAAGACGATTTTTCAAATGATACGAACACTAACGTCGTAATAGAGTTTTCTTGAAGTTATGACTAAGTTTATCTTTTAAAGCTTATGAAAAGCTTAAGGTGACGCTATAAAAGCTCTTTAAGAATGGGTAATTTTTTGTAATAAAAGAAAAAAGAAAATAATTATGCTCTTGAAATTCTAAACAAAGAAATTCGAGAAATTCTCCAAAGCTTTTATTATATCCTTTGTATTCGCTATATATTGTAGTACACTATCAGAACAGGAAGATTCGTTAAGATGACTTCTCTAAAAACAGGACAGTAGAATTTTTGTTTCTTATATATAAATATGTAAAATATTTTAATAGTATTTCTCATCGTATATTATGGTTTGATCAAAAAGTCTATAGTAGTCTTCGTATAATTTGATTTAAAGTGCGAAAAATATACATTTTCCTATATAGCCTAAAGTAAGTGTACCCCTATTTAAAGACCGTCACTGAAAATACCTGGACGGTAACTTAGCATGCATACTGAAGTCAAAATAGAGAGTTTCTCTATTTCACTTTTTATGCAAAACAAACTCCAGTCGGCTCCCGCAACAAATGATTTTATTGCACTGTTAGGGATACATGTATATAGTAAAAAAAAAGTATTTTAATAAGCGTGTTTATAATTCTTCACTAAAAGACTATTTCAAGATGTGTTTTGGATTTGATCATAAAAATAACAATATCTTTAAGAATGTGACAATGGATTTTTTGGCGACGCCTGTAGGCAGACTTGCGGCCAGTGTCTTGGGAACCCACCGTGTCATCATATCAATGGTTCCTGTCCACAAGGATGTTCTGCCGGATACCAGGGTCCTCTTTGTAAGAAAAGTAAGAATTAGGAATATTTGGTACACTTGCTAAAAAATGTAAACATGGGGCAAACTTTAAAATAATGTATGCTTAGCCTCTCTAGACTCAGTGTAAAAATATTTCGTCGTTAGGTGGGGAAAATCTTTTTTCAAGAAAAGGTTAACATATTTGTTGACAAAATATAAAAAAAAAAAACATGCCCGGGAAGATAAAAAAAAGTCAATCCATTTTTAGTTATCGGTTTGGATTGATTTATTTCAGATTCCCTATAAATCAAACAAACAATATGGATGTTATTTGCTTGTTTAATGTGGCGCTTCTGGCCGCGGTGATCAATTTGCTTGGGCTACCACAGGGCTGCCCCACAATCAACAATCAATACAAAAAATGTGACGACCCAAATCGGGCGGATCATGCACTGGGTAGGTCACAAGTGCATGAACGTCACCAATGCAATAATCAATCAAATTCAATCAATCAATTATTAATCAATCAGTCAATCAATCAATTCAAATATCAATCAAGTCAATTACCTGTCAATCAATCAATTATTAATCAATCAATCAATTCAAATATCAATCAAGTCAATAAACAATGGAATGAGCATAAGAATATGTGTTGCACTCGTCCAATTGCGTTGAGGTGCGACGGAATACGCAAACACTAGGAATTCCAATCCAAACAAAGCTGAAGTGGACGCTATCCCAAACAGGCAGTCATCACGACACGGTATAGGTAAAACAAAAACTTCATCACCGCGACATAGGTTGATGCAGACGCAATCCCCAACATGCAGTCATCCCGATATAGGTAAAATAGAGACCTCATCACCGCTACATTTGTTGATGCGGACGCTGTACCTAACAGGCAGTCTTTGCAGAACACGCAATCAAACAGAATTCACTAATGCAACACAAGTTGACGAAGACGCTGGACGAAGCAGGGCACCATTATGGAATATTGGAGAACATGATTTTCACTGCGACATGGGATGTTGTGGACACAGGCCAAGCAGGAAGTCTTCAGCTACAATGACATAACAAGAACAGCAGTATTTGTTCTAAAACAAGAGGAGGGTGGGTGGGGAAAATTAAAACATTGCAAAAATTCAACTTCACAAAATTTTCCATGACCTTACCGTTTTTTCGACTTATCGGGAAAGGAAAAGGAGGAACAATTAAATATTAGACTAGTATATGTAAACGGACCTAAATTATCCGGATTGATAGGTTGGGACTAAGGGTTAATATAATTATATATCTGAAAGGACTTAAGATATCCGGAATGGAGGGACATAGGGTTACTGAAATAAACTCACCTATTCGAGACCAGGCTCGTATAAGTGGTAATATATTTACTTAATTTTGAAATGATGCTACGGAAGCCCGTGTAGGCCAGTTAAGAGAAAGAAATAATTTTTAATTTCGTTTAATCGCAATAATTATTGCGATTAAACGCAAAACAGTGCGTTAAATCAAATTAATTGTTGCGTTTAAACGCAAATCATTGCGTTTAATCGCAATAATTATTGCCTTGAAAAGCAAAACATTGCGATAAATAGCAATAATCATTGCCTTTAAACGCAAAGCACTTTGCGTTTAATTGCAAAAGATTGCGTTTTAATGCAATGATTTGCGTTTAAACGCAATCTTTTGCGATTAAACGCAATAATATTTTTGCGTTTAATTGCAATAATTATTGTGTTAATTGCAAAAATTATTGCGTTTAATCGCAATAAAATTGCGATTATACGCAAAATTTTTTGCATTTAAACGCAATAATTTTTGTATTTAAAAGCAATCATTTTGAAGATCAATTGATCTTTGAAGAGTGCAATGGACCCACGCTGATATGTAGTAACTTAAGAGGAGAATTGTGTATTGTTAAGCTTTATAGAATCTGATTCTTCTGAACAAGCATTTTCTGAATGGTTAAATCATTGGTATGAATTTAAAGAGGAGAAAGAAGTGTCGGTCTGTAAAAACAAAGACAACCTAAGAAAGAAATAAAGCTTCAGCATGTTTAGATATCTATATTCCTGTTAAGGTTGGGTCAGTTGCTTACAAACACAAATGACATTTCCTATATTGTTTTCTCTACTTTTAAACTTTAAAACTATGCAAACAATTTTAAAGGATTTTCGAAAAAAAAAAAGACCGGAAAAGAAATAATGATTGAAAAACTACATTATCACTTCACGTTTCGGTCACAAAGTTTAAACCCTGTACCTAAATAAAGGGCTTTAGAAAACAACTGATTAAATGTTTTGACTTATGTATATGTACATGTACATATTATGTATATGTATATTCACAACCTTTCCTTTGATCACATACATTTACATAAACACGAGAACACGAGAATTTATGAGATGGAATCATGAAATCAAAAATAAATAAAATGAAACAGATTGGCCGACGTGTTTTACCAAATTGATATGTCTATTAATACCACTGAAACATTCTTAATTAGATGTGATGTGTAAGGAATTGATTAATGGCTGCGTTAAGAGTGTTGGGTTCTAATAGCTTTGAGAAACTTGGTTGTTAGGATGCCATTGTTAAACTTAAAATCTCAAAAACTGAAACATTTTCAAAAAGACACAAAACCAAACGGCTCTCCTTAAAAGAATCGGACCTTAGTATTTATTATAATCTTTGCATTTAAATACAACAAAATAATTGCGATTAAACGCAAAAATTCATTGCGTTTAAACGCAATATTATTGCGATTAAATGCAAAACTTATTGTGTTTAATAGCAAAAGTATTGCGTTGAAACGCAAAGATTATTGCGTTTCATCGCAATATTATTGCGTTTAAACGCAAAAATTATTGCGATTAAACGCAATAACAAATATTTCTCTCTCTGAACTGGCATTAACGGGCTTCCGTATGATGCAAATAAAGCAGAGAGAATATTTCTTTTAATTGAATTCTTTTGATGATGTTTGAATTGTTGAGGTATATATTTATTCTAACTTTAATATATTTATTTATTGATTATTCACTTGACACTTCTCAGAAATCTCGATTTTTTTTAATGGACGAACTTTTTTTTCAATATAAATGAGGCACATCAATCTATTGTCAAGCATTTTGGTAAAACATTTGTTTAATTACAGACCCTAAACCGTGCTACTACACCTCAGAAACGAACCGTACCGTTCCGTGCAGAAAGCGTACCGTACCGTGCACAAAGCGTACCGTACCGTCCACAAAGCGAACCGTTCCGTGAACAAAGCGTACCGTTCCGTGCACAAAGCGAACCGTTCCGTGCACAAAGCGTACCGTACCGTCCACAAAGCGAACCGTTCCGTTCACAAAGCGTACCGTACCGTCCACAAAGCGTACCGTTCCGTGCAAGAAACGAACCGTACCGTTCTTTGGTTAATTATGCAAACCACGCCCCCAATGATTTTTGAATCGTATAATGACCAAATAAGTCATTTTGGTTTATTTCTCGCTACGGCGCCTGTGAAAGGAGGACGGAGGTTGTGTCTGCCTGTTCGAAACACCATTATCAAGTATCATGCGTCTGGATCTTCAACTGTAAAAATAAGGAAACTACTCGAAGCAAACTACAACTGCAAAACAACTAGACAGAGTGTGAGACGATTCCTTATTTGCTATAAATTAAATCAACTGGTTGTGTTTGTGGTCAAAGGTACAGTACAGGCCACGAGCTTTTCCCGCAAAACACGTACGGGGCACGTTGGACCTCGAACAATGTCGGCGTCTTTGAAGTCTTTCATTTTCATACTACAAGTTTTAGCAAATTAAATCAATTTCCTTTTGAAATATTAGCTGTATTTAAATATTCGTAATTTAACAATACAGATATTTAAACTAATATTATAAGATGCCCCAAAATTCAATATAATTGTGCTCGTGCCCGGGGGAAAAAAACCGCCTTAAATGTGCATATGTACATTAATTCATGTCTCATAATCCTATAATTGTATTTGACATTAAAAAAGTTCAATAGACTATAATACCACTAAGACAGAATACGCTTTCATGAATTAATTCCCTGGTTGTCTCTACTTTTGATTTTAATTAATTCTGCTCATTTAAATTATTAATTTAAATCTTATCGGATACAAGATCGTGTTTGTCGTAAGTATGCATTCATATGTAGTACATATCAGATGCGTGATTTTACTAATGAATTATTTTGTAAGAATTTTAAAACATATATAAACTGTCAAATTTAAAAAAGATCCGTATTAGACTCTCACATTAATTCTGTTAAGATTCTTACTATAGGCGAATCATTGGTGCAGTTATACTTGCACTGAAAATCTGTAATCATGTAAAATATGGATTAAAATATTACATGCGGTAAACATGAAGAATTCTACTGAACAGACAGAGATAATAATCTTACTAATAAAACTGTGATCAAGTTTTACGCTGTATACAAAAATCGCCAGCCGAATTTCTTGCAAATAAAATGTGCAAACTGCAGTATAAATATTACTTCATTCTGAAATACATCTTATGAAAAATTAAAAAAAAAAAAAACAGTTAGCGAAAAAATGAAGATATTATAAGGTTTGTTACACTGTTCACTTGTTTACCCCCATCCCCTTCCTAGAAAGCAATATGAATTAGCTAGCTGGTTAAAAGTTCTTTAAAAGTCTGCAAAATGGTACGTTGTTGTAAATTAAAATTAATCATAATCTACAGGAAACATTTTTATAAGTGTCTGAAAAAAGATAATTTACTAAATGAAATGAAATTTAAAAAAATAGATCAATCCTCTTTTAAGCCATATAATGTTTGTTACCCCCCCCCCCTCTAGAAGGCGATACTTATGCGAATTTATGTGGCTTTAAATTGTGCTTTTGTAAAAAAAGAAAATTATAATTCAGGGATACATGCTTAATTATTTTTGTCTGAAAAGGGATAATTTAGGAAGTAAATTTGTAATCAGTGTTGTGGTGAAACCTGGAAGATGAGTTTGCTGGATGTCTGTTGAGTGATTTAATACACTTGATGTGGTCAGAACTAAATAATTTGAAAGGTGTGTTAAACACACGCCCCCCCCCCCCCCCCCCCCCCCCTCCCCCGTCTCTCCGGTTGTGACCCAATATTTTTTTTAGACAGGTGTGAACTATGAACTGACCAAAAGAATGTTTCAAATCACAGGAGAAAATCTTTCTGCGTAAACAGACTGTCAAGGTCACCTAGCGTCATGCCATTTTGATTGACAGATGATATAAGAGGAATTCATGCATGCAGCATGCATGTACAGAGAACGGATTATTCATTGCACAATAGTTTTAAATGGGTTGATTAAATAGCATCATAGACTGATTAATTGTGACTTTGGCGATGTAAATAAAACGAAGAATGAGAATAAATACAAGTTACTATTATTTTTTTTACAGATAATGTACATGTATTAAGGGTTTGCATCTCTCTCTCTCTCTCTCTCTCTCTCTCTCTCTCTCTCTCTCTCACGACATTGTTTTTACAGACTTAACAAGAATAGAATAACTTAATAAAATAAAGAAAAACTTCTAAAAATAATTACTTAATACACTGAAAGGATTATTGAAAACATAAATACTTGTCTGTGAAAGGAATGTTTTTTTTTTGTTACGAGAAAGCGCTCGGAAGTTATTGTATTAATTTCGTGTGTCCGCTGTTGATTTTTGTATTTATTTTGTTTACTGATATTTCTCTTCTGAAGCAAACGTTTAAGCGGTAGATCTACAATTAAAAAAACAATTTACATATCTAATTACTAGGAATAAAAATGAAGCAGGAATAGTCATATTTATTTCTATAGATCAATCAATTAAAAATAATTTATATATGTGCATAGCATTATATGTATAGAACAAGTATATACCTAGTATATATTAATTCCTTTTAATTATGTTACAACTTTATTTTAAAGTGAAAAAAATATTTCATATAATTTTTTTTTCCTTTTTCAAATGAAGGGTCAGCATACGTAAAAACTAAATACGGAAATATTTACGAATATTTCTATATATATTAATACATATCTATACATAATGCCAAAGACATCGGTGGGATGATGTTTTTTCTTCCTTTCATTTTTTTTTTTTCATTTTTCCTCCATCACCGCTGTAATGTAAAATGTTTAAATTGAAACCGAGAAATAAATTTGTTAATAGATGAAATATAATTATATACATGCATTAAGTACTTCAAAAGTCATTTAAAATGAATAAATTTTAAGCAGCCAATCGAGAATTAAAGCTAACAGGCTCCGCCCACTTCATTTGCATACCGTTTCTCAAAGCGTACCGTTCTCAAAACGAACCGTTCCGTGCAAGAAACGAAACGTACCGTCCACAAAGCGTACCGTTCCGTGCACAAAGCGAACCGTTCCGTGCACAAAGCGTACCGTTCCGTGCACAAAGCGAACCGTTCCGTGCACAAAGCGTGTCGTACCGTTCTCAAAACGAACCGTTCCGTTCACAAAGCGTACCGTTCCGTGCACAAAGCGTACCGAACCGTACCGTTCAAGTGGTGTAGTAGCACGGTTTAGGGTCTGTATGTTGTATTACATGTACAAGTTACTGAGAAAGCACACATATAAGCAGGAAAAGCGATTAAATGAAAAAAAGCTTTCTTTCGAAAGTGTCCCCTATTTCAACCGAGATAAATGTCTCGGTTAAACACCTTGTTTTAACCTCCAGTAATATTTAGGTCACCTGAGTAAACTCAGGTGACCTATTGCTATCCGTTTTCGTCCGTCGTCGTGCGTCGTCCGTCGTCCGTCGTGCGTTAACATTTGAACATTTTCAGCTTCTTCTCTGCAACCACTGAACCAATTTCAACCAAATTTGGCACAAAGCATCTATGGGTGAAGGGGAACAAAAATTGTGAATTTCATGATCCCTGCCCCCCCCCCCCCCTGGGGCCTGAGGGGTGGGGCCAAAACCACTAAAATTAATGCAATCTTTAAAAATCTTCTTCTTTACTCCTGGACATCAAGCAGTCAAACTGTTTGCATGATTTTAATCAGCAATGAGTCCTCTACCAAAATTGTGAAATTCATGGCCCTGGGGTCAGGGGTTCTAGTGCTAGGGCGGGGCTAAATAAGTAGGTAGTGAAAATGCATTATTTCTTTGAAAAACTTCTTCTCTGCTCCTGGGTATTAAATAAACTAACTAAGTACATAGTTATGATGAGCAATAGTGCCTCTACCAAAATTGTGAATTTTATGGCCCCAGGATCAGGGGTTCTTGTTTTAGGGTGGGGCTCAAATGATTATATAGTGAAATTGCATGAATTCTTTGAACATCTTGTCCTTTCCCTCTGGTTAATATACTAATGATATAATTACATATTTAAGGCCAGGATTTATTTTATTTTCAGTTTTACAAACCCTCCGCTCAAGGTTTTGAATTTTTAGAAAAAATAAAACAATTTTTTTCTTTCCGATGTCAAATTTGAGTCGGGATCGAGATTTCAAATTTACGAACTCGCACTTCCGGTTTTAAGAATGAGAAGATAGCTTGGTTTAGTGTAAAATTCATCGATACGAGTGCCATTCAAAACGTTTCACCCGTTCAAAGGACAAATAAAATGCTGACGACTTTGTTGCACAATGACATACTGGTGAGATAATTATGTATTCGTTTCAAAAGTATCTGTCTGTAAATTATTTTCTCCCCCAGGTTTTAAACTGCCCGTGGTAGCTATAGGTTGCATATTGCCAGCGACATTGTTTATGTCTCTGTTATAGCTTACAGTCTAAGCATCATTCTTTAGAAAAGGGTTGCTTATGTATCAGATGTAATGAATAAAACTATGGGAGAAGTTAGGTCCATTTGAGGAAGAAATAAACAATAACCTGTAGAAAACAAGAAATAAAAAATTCAACTATTAAAAGGCAAGAATATACAAATATATACAGGCATGTAGTATCATTTGTATCAGCTAGAAAAAATATTTTACACAGGTCCAGAAAAATACACTTACACTTAATTAAAAAAAATGTTCACACTACTCCCCAATACTCCCTGTCTGTTTTATGATATGAATTATAATTTTAGGCATCAAGTAAATTTTAGAACAATGTCTACACATTCACCTAACACATATTAAAAAAAATGAAGATATATTGAAAGACTTTTAAAGAATTGATTTTTAAAAATATATTTTGACCAACATCACAAAATTTATATAACTGGCCCAAACTGGCAGATGATGAAATAAGCAATTAAATGTTCTACTTTCCTATTTGTAAGCATTATGTGTCCAGTGGTAAGGAGCCTATTAGAATAGCATGAAAAAAGAATGAACAAATGTTAATAATTGATTTATCAAAAAAAAATTTTATTTCCTTCTCCTTCGGGACTTTTTTTATTCTCATGTTCATAACTAAACCTAAACAAAAAAAAAATGCTGGCCTTATAATGAAGAAAAGGGCCTCTTTCAAAATAGATAATTTCAGGGACGCTGGGTCAGGGATACCAGAGGGGTACTTTGACTAAAAATAAATTAATGCTTTGAAATCTGCCCTTTGATAAGCAATGGTGCCTTCTTCAAAATTTGTGAATTTCATGGCTTTTGGATTAAAACGCAAACCAAATACAATCGCTGGAAAGTTGTTACATGATATTCAGGTGACCTATAAGGCCCGTGGGCCTCTTGTTTAAATTAATTTCCGTTATTTTGTCCAATTATTAACTACTTAAGCTTCAAATTTGCGCTTAAGAGTAAAAAAGAATCCCCTACATATCTAAATGTTTTTTTATTTTTCCTGAGCCGGGAGAGGACAAGTTTCAATTAAAAAAAATGGCATGATTGGTATTGCTTTTTTTTTAAGAATGTGACGGTGGTTTAAACTGCTCCAAGACATGTGGTCACTGTCGTGACGACTCACAATGTAATCATATCAATGGAACTTGATTTACAGGATGTTCACCCGGATACAAGGGATCGTTCTGCATCAGTGGTGATTTATATTAATTAATCTTTATTTCTTATTAAAAACAAAAATCAGGCATGAGCACTTTATACACTAAAACATGTTCCAAAACATATCAAAAGTAAAATGTCAATATTATCTAAATTTTAATGTACTTTCTGTACATAATTCCTGCGAAGATAAATATGTATCTAGAAGTAGCAACACACAAATATTTTTGAACGAACTTTTCTCAAAATATGCCAGTGTTAATTATAAACTTCAGATCAATGCCTTTAAAACTACTCTATACTTAATATATATATTATACACAGCTGCAGAAAATCAAAGGATCTAAAATGAAATTTTATAATGAATTTCCTGATTTATATTACTTAGAATGTAATGGTGGAATGTATGGTGTAAACTGCAGTCAGACCTGTGGAAACTGTCTTAATGATTCACAGTGTCACCATGTTAATGGTACCTGTTTACAAGGGTGTTCAACTGGATACAAAGGATTGCTTTGTACACAGCGTAAGAAACCTTCTTTCATCATTCTTTAAAGTAGTTCTTCACTCGCACTACGTCATTTACGAATAGTAGAACCGGAACCGCGCTTCCCTTTTCCGAGATGTGATTTTTTAAACTATATTGGTTTCACTTTTACTTAGCGTTTTAAATATCCTGTAACGATTTTGCTCCAAGTCGCTCGCGTCAACAAACGTACAAACACTACAGTTTTAAGGATAAATTAATTAAAAAGAGAAGGCTGGGAAAAACTTTGGGTTGACAGAAATAATTAGTTAATAATATGATATTTCTGTGAGTGATGCATGTTCTATATGCCTCTCCGATAACACGGACCACGAACTTGCTACATCAGAACATGTATGATTTGTATCATACTCTCGCGACTGTTGTCGGCGGCCAAGTTGAAGTTAATAGTGATAATTCGGAAGAAAAGTAATGACTACGATTTGACTTAGACAATATATAAGTTTTAGTAATCAAACGTTACAAAATTTACTTTGAATAATAATATTGTATAAGACGCATACCCCCCCCCCCCCCTCCTCCACTTGCTTACCCACGAATTAATGCAAAATTATCTTTTGAATAGAAGTATATGACAAATGTTGATTCACTGGCAGCATACTTACTTTCCTGTAACAAAATTATCCACTATATGTGAGAATCAGTCAATCACTTTCATTTTCATTGTCTCCAATTTACAGACAAATGTGTTTTAATCAAAGAGTAAAATAAGATAAATTTTAGTGACAATAGGTATTGGGTGTGTATAATTATTGTTTTAAATATGTACAACTTTGTTTATACAAATATACACTCCAAATGTAACAGTTTTACAGGAAAATAAGGCAATATATTACTTCTGGAATATGGAAATTAGGGGGGTACCTTTAGTGTAGAGCTCATACCACGAAAGGTAATGCGTCAACATATAATTTTTTTAAGCTTAAAAATCTTTTTCTTAAATATTATTTAGTAAAAATAATACAATTTTACGAAGTTTGAGTCCATGATTTTTTTTCAAATGACCGAGATTGACCTGTGAAGCATATTATCTAATATTAAATTTTAATACGTTAGCCTAACAAAGTGCATCTATTTATAATAATTCATGCAAAAAATGATTATATATTGTTGACTAACATATTTCTACTCTCTTTAGGGTATTAAAGTCGAATATTTAGACTTGAATCCAGTTAAATACAACAAGATCTAGAATAGGTAAATTTTCACTATTTTACATTTCGGGGTATATATTCCGATAGGCATTAGCGGAAAAGTAAACATGTTGACATATTATTTTTCTTGTATCTATCCATTGCTGGGATGTATGTCTATCTTTTAAAAGCAGATTTTTTAAGATTGAGCCCATTTAGTGCCGATTATAGAACTAACTTAAATTTAAATTCTTTTAATTTATTTTATTCTTTTCAACACTTGGCAGATTACCGTATTTCGTTTCCCTTTTGAAATGTTGATTTTCACCATATGATCAATGAATAGGGATCATATCAAAAAAGAATAATGACTACTCTATTTTTGTATATAAACAGAAATGTATTTCGTCGATTAATCTCTTTTCCCGCAGTCTTAGACATTGATTATAAATCAAAGCGATAAAGGTCTGTAGAAATTCAATCATACGTATTGACTGTAAACCACTTCAAACTCAAATTGAAACATAAGTATGAGATCATCTTTTGTTTTTTTTAACAAATACTCATTTTTTTAGTTATTTCACTTGACACTGCCCAGAAATGAAGAATAAATATAAGACTGCCGTCATGAGAAAAGGGCCCTTATCTTTTGACGTCACAATGCTCAGAAAACGACGTCAAAGTTGCGGTATGTAAACACGGAATAAAAAAAAATGTCAACTGCGTTTCGTGATATAGAAATAAAATTGGATTTCAAAGTGTAATAAAAAATTGAAATTTGATGCGGAAATTTTTAATAGGTATATAGTATGATATTATTACTATTTAATACGTGAATTTTTTCATAGTTCTGTTTAAGTATTTAACTTCATGTTGATATAAGCGACATTGGACATGCACATTGCTAGGAACAGCGATTAAAACAATTTCTTTTCATGACTAAATTAAAGATGCTGCATATTTGTTTTTAAGAAATTTCCAAATGCATAAATTTTAATTCATGTTAAGAAGTCTTAATATTAAAAGGTATATTCCATGTATATTCCATGTATATTTTTTTAAAGAGAGAGAGAGAAAGAGCTAGCGAGAGGTCTATGCACTTGTATTATTACCGTTCTTATAAGCGCTTCTTTTTTTCTGAAAAAAAAAACATAACCTCTCTTTGACTGGATATATATTCTGGTAACATGGGAGATGCAATTAAACCTTCTACATCAACAATAAATGATTCTTTACTAAATCAACAGTAAGAGAATATTTTAATATTATTTGGAAATTGAATTAGACGCAGTCGACGTCACTACGTTTTCAGCGAGTAACGTCAAAGTTATTTAGGCGCGCCTTACTAAAATGCCTATAAAATACTGAAAAAGTGAGATATTTTCAAAATTTATGTATATTTGCATTCAGAAAGAGTTCGGTTATCAAAATTTACCAAAAAGTAGATTTATGAAAATTTGACCTTAAGGGCCTTTTTCTCGTGACGGCAGTCAATTAATGTTAATTTGTATTGACAAATATTTTTTAATGTAAATTAGGCACATTAATCTATTTGTCAATATTGTTAGGTAAATAATTGTTTATAGGAAGAACATTTTGTGTAGAATACAAAATATTTTTTAAAAAATATTGTTCTGTCGAATACAAAATATTATTTCATAAACATTGTTCCATTGATTTTATGTAACTTTTATATGTATATAAAAAATTACTCTTTTAAACTGTTCAGGCAATTATAATAGTACACATAAGCTTGTAAATGTATTTGCATGGATTTTCTTTTTTGTATTTCAAATTTCTGAGAAAGTAAGAAAAGCAACAATTAAATGAATTAAGGCTGTTGTAAAAAAAAAATGAATCTAATCTTTCGAAACTTTGCCCCATTTTAAATGACGGACTAAAATATGTCGATTAAAAACCCTGTTTTAATCTTCAGGAAATAATATTTCTTAAATCAATTCCGGTTTTCCATCATATTATCACACCCTCGCTTTAGATGCGTTTGCTTGTCGGAGAGCCACTATGGTGACTATTGGGAAATGAAGATGAAGCCGCCTTACGATTTGCAGACCTTTATTTCTCGTTGGGTCGGATAGTATCAGGGACGTGTGCGTCCGGATTCCAACTCTCCAATTGCTTAGAAAAATTTGTATTTATAGACATAAATGTTATTTGATGATTTTGAGTAACATATGACATGAGTTACTTGATTTACAAGTAGATTTAAAGATTATGATTCCAAATACAGTAAAATTACTTTTTCATGGGATCAAAGTTTCATGGTTTGAGTAAAAAGTCTTGGTTCGTTGGATTTGAATTCATTGATGAAGAATTGTCGAGTAGTTACATGTATGTATGTAACATTTTCATTTCGTGGTGGACATGAATTCGTGGGTATCTCCATACCTCTAAACAACATAAATTAAGCTCCCACGACAATTTGTGAATTCATAGTTAACAATAATTAAGTCACACAAAGCACAGTCCACCGGCTTATATCATTCATGGCTCATTAAGATAATGAAACATTCAAAATAGATAAATCTGATAGATTGAATCAATTATGACAACTCATTAACCCCTTCACTTCCGTACCGGTCAAATTGACCGGTGGCGCGTTAAAACACGACTTCGCGAAAATAAGATATCCGCATTTATTTTATGGTAGCATGAAGGTATATAAACTATATATCACCTTTTTTGAAATTTTCTCTACTTTTAAAATATCTAAAAAGATTTTGTCTTGATTGCCGGTATTTAATCGATTTTATGTTGTGAAACACAAACGTGACTTTTTGAAAATGGCGTAATTTCAAAAGCAATTGCCGATTTTCCAGACGATTGACATTTTTTTCCTATCAAATTTTTAAAGAAAGTATGATATATTCTTAAAGCATATTTTCCCCGTTTTTAAAATATGTAAAAATTATTGTTATTACTTTAAAGTATGTTTTAAACAAAAATTTTCTTGCACTTATGTGTTTTTTCTCGATTTTATTCGTAATGTTTAAACAAAGCTCAGTTTTACGTTTATTTCTGTATTGAAATAGGGAAAACAAAATAAAGCTGGTAAAGATATATATTTTCCTTCCAAATACTTTACAGGCCTTCTTACGCTCAGTATTTTCTTAATTACGATAATTTGAATTTGTGACCTTCGCATAGTTTTTATGGAAAATTCGGTCAATATTTACATGTAACGTCAAGGTCGATATTGTTGTGTCTAACTCGAAACAACAAATTCTTTTATAAGACTTTTTTGACCATTTAGATATATTTTTTACTGAAATAAATGCATAATACAAAAAAAAAATAGATTTCAAAAAAACAAATATATACTATCCTTCTGCCTTTTGTGTGAAGTGAAATGTTAATTTATTCATCTACATGTAATGATGTATATTTCATATAGTGATATACAATGTTGATAAAAATTGTAGATTCCCTAAACGTCAATCTTTACTAAAAAAAATCAGATTTTTAGTATTATTGTATCTTGTTATACTGTATTCTTAATTTGCAATTTAATTAGATCTATATTGGCACGAAATTTAACAATACAAAACCTTGCATTTATAAATAAATACGACTCATCACTGTATGAGTTGATACGAATTGAAATAACCACGTGTTTCCGCTATGGCAGCAGTGAACAACATGATGGCGATCCGAAATCTGAACGTCAATTTTCATGATTATTTCACGACGAAGATCATCACATCAATGAATCAAATAATACGGACATGCCTTTGGTATTAGCAGGTGAGAATACGTGTACATTGACTGAATAGTTTAAGTTTAAAACGCACTTAGTTCACGTTCAAAAGAAAACTAAATGTACACATGTATTAGATCTTCATATTTCAGTGTGCGTA